CAAAGCGGGTACGCTGGGCAAAAGGTTCGTCTGGTCCTCCACCGATGACTTTACCTTCAATGAGTCGCCCCCACACGTCCGCGCCGATCAGAACGTCGATAGTTCCAGGCGTACCGAAACGGTTGTCCGCCAAATCTATGTCTCTCAAATATGGCCATTGGTTTATGTCAATCTTCACTGCTGGAGTTGGAGAAGTAATGGACGATAAACCAAAGCATCAATTCGCATTTCAAAGTTAGTTGTTGTTGATCTCAGAGTGAACGTAACGCTGCCTTTCACTCGAGTATTGATGGTAGCACCTACGCCTTCTACCCTCACATCACATTTCCGTCGATATAGCTGCAAACAATTCGCTAGACGATCCGTCACAAAGCTAACCTGTGACCCGGGATCGCATAGAACTCGTGCCACTCGCTGCACCGATGCTTCTCCAACGGCATATACACGCGCTGTTGCTAAAAGGGTTATCGGCTTTGGATTGGCAGCGAGGGGCCTCGCAGGTGCGGCTAGTCATGCCGTTGTGGTTGTTGGCACCTCCGCAGGTACCTCATTGCCTGCGGCTGCCGTAGTCGTAGAAGCAAACGTTGACGTGTTGATGGACTTGTTTCGGCATAGGATCGTGTTATGCTTACGTCCACAATTTCGACAGCTACTAGATGGACACTGTCGATAAGAATGACCTGTACGTAAACAGTTGTAACACATCTGCATTTTCTTAAGGGCTTCAAATCGCTGCTCGATACTGAGAGCCAATAATGTCGGACACCTGGCGATTCGATGCGCTAACCCGCAATGAGCACACAGAGCTGCCTCCGTGGAAGCCACATGGGCCCTCACTGGTCGTTGCTGACGGGAAACCATTAATGAGACCGGTGGTTCAGTAACAAGGCTATGAGCACGTCTCTCTAGAAATTTCAATAGGTCTTCTAACTGTGGAATTTCTGTAGTGGAGCACCTCATACACCAATCTCTCTTAGTTACCGACGGAAGCTTTGCCACCACTATTGGTACAGCTAACGCATCCCACTGAGATATGGGGATATCCATCACACGCAATGCACGCAGCGACTCATGAACCGTGTCCACAATAGCCAATAACGATTGTGATGACTCATGGGTAGCTGTTTTAAGGTTAAGAAAACGGGATACGTGTATTTCCGCTAGCTGCTTTTTATTGTCATAGCGGTCCTTTAGAGCTTTCCACACCTCTTGATAGCCACCCGAATATATTCCCCCAATTAACGGAACAGTAGCCGCATTGACTGCCTGACGAAGCTTTCCCAATTTGAACGCTTCTGGGTATGCCGAATTATGTACCAGTGTTTCAAAGGCATCTTTGAACGCTAACCATTTACACATGTCTCCATCAAATAACGGGATAGCTAACGGGTCCAATTTGAGATCCACCAAATGGCCATCCAGAGATGTTGTGGGACAATTGTGCGCTCCGTCAGCGACATTAGATTCAACCCTTGACGATGCGATGAGACGATTCAGTCTACTGCATGCCGCAGTATACAGCTCCTCTATTGATTCCAAAAGTGCATCATGTGACCCAATCTCGGAGGACGTAGCTCCTCCTACCAGACGATTATGGTTCTCCATGAAGCGCTCAAAGTGTGATTTAAGCGACTTGAGCTCTTGTTGAAAATGAAACACATCACGACCTTCCATGACACCTTCCGAGACACGTGCATGTATGCGCTTTATTGCTTTCACCGCCGATGAACGCCAATTGAGCTCCGCCATGAAACCAGACCACCGCAATTACAAAATGAAATTAAAATATTTGTCCTCACAGGAGGCACCAAAATGTTAAATAATTAAATTACCAGCGGGTAGAGTTCTCAATGCTTTATT